TTTTTCCCTCTTCTCTTCAAAAAGCACATGTTCCCTGGCGAAAAGCGTGACTATAAAAGCGGGTTGTTAGTCGAAGCGCAAATGAAGAGGACGAGAGACTCGGGAACCCGGTACTGCGTGACGTAACTTCGATGCGACGCGGCGTGAAGGACTCACGGCGTCGCGCTGTTGCTTCAAACTCTCGCTGCCTTGAGCTGGAAGTCATTCACGTGATTTCGTACATCCACACGGGTCGGAATAATCGAGCGATTTCAGTGATTGCGTAACTCCACGACAAAACTGTCAAAATCCCGGATTGCAAAGTCCCACATCCACCTGCGAGCAACAAAAAAAAGTGATGAAAAAACATGTTTCATGAAAGGTTCTGTTCACAGAAACGTAGGATAATCCCCCCGGGTGATACTCAAATCTGTCGCCAACAATTGATCATCCGCTCGATGGCTCAATAGTCGAATTTTTTTTTTATAAATCAAAACAGCGATGATTCACATACACACGAAGAAAAAATCGAAGAAAATTTATCTGCAAAGTCTACCTGCTTCAAATCGATCCTTTGAGTTCACGTCTTCGGTAATCTATCTATACGTACCCTCATGATCGTATGTTAGCATGGCAAACACATTAAAGTGCCTAATTTCACACCACTTGCTAAACTTTCTTGATAAGTTCACAATCATAAATAGGAATAATAAATAATAATAATAAACCGACGCATTATAGAAGAGTTTCCATCCACCATTAAATAGAAAGGAAGTTAACCATGATGCATTTCAAAAAAAGCGTGAAACTTTCCGAAACCGTGATCAAATTAATTCATGTTGTCCTTTGCAGCTAGTTTTCAGTACGTCGTACAAATGTAATCAAGGCCAAGTTTATTATCCCAAAAAGTGAAGACTTGCTTCAGCACATAATTTACCGTCATCAGCATTTTGTTATAGGTTGTCTTGGTGCGCTTTTGAAGTTTCCAAGATAAGGATGTGGAATGATTTGCTGTATATCTAAATGCAAATAAAGGCGATATAGCTAGTATAAACTATAAATTAATGTTTATTCCAATATTCGTGCCTCACTAAAGTGGCTTGGATGCATCACATATTTTTCAGTAATTCTTCCTTAGCAGAACCGCATACTTTACAGCTGATTTTTCTTCATCCGAGCTTCAGGGATGCCATGTATTTTTTATTCAATTTGATGTTACGATACATTTTCTGCACTCCATGAAAATGAATTCCTCACTTGGCAGCATCAAAGCTGTACAGAGTAATTCAATCATTTACACACTCGCCAAACATTACCAACAAGTACTAAAAATTCGCTTCCCAGAGACGTGATTTTATTATGTTCAAAGGGCAAAGAAATGACGAAAAACGTTTTGTTCCTCTCGCGGGAATTGCGAAGAAGGCAAGGACTCCCACGAGCACTGAAAAACCAAGGCTCTTTACTCAGCAAGTCCTCGCCACTTTACGTTGAGCCTTGCAGGTACCTGCACTTGGAAGAGACTAACAGCGAGAAAATTTTTTCTCAATCGGACTTTTTTTTATGTGCATGACTACACTGAGGTAAATCTCGGCCCCACGGAGAACTTTTAGAAAATGTTTCGGCGCAGAGACCCAAGTAGGTCATCTTGTCACATGCGCTCGAGCCCTTTCCTTCCAGTCATAAAATCTTCCTAGGCTGCTGTACCATTCAAGAACATTATTTCAGAAAAAAGAACCCTCTTGTGAGTTCCGCGAAACGGATAGCGAGGATGATGGGAAGAGACGGGGTACCATCTTTATTGATATGACCCATGATTTCCCCGGTACTCTGCAGGAGCACCAGGTGAGACTATCTCGATTTTCAAGGGAACATTCATTGCTCATTTCCTGAAGACACCATGTTTCCTGTCTTCGAGGTTTTAATTTTCCGCCCACCTAATTCTGATACATGTTAAGAAATAAGTCAGCGATCAATCCATTACCCGATAGACCGACAATTTAAGTGTGACAAAATGCGTAGGAAAATCTGTTCCAAGTGTCTTCAGCCGCCAGAAGGGCTCGGGTTGATTTGAAAATTATTTTAGCTATTGGACCTTGCCTAGAATAATAATATATCAACATTCTAAGGTACGGCATAAATAGAGCAGGAAACCTTTGAAGCGTCAGTGGAAAACATTGTTTCCTCTAGAAATAGTTTCAACTTGTTCAGGTGGAATTGCAAAATTTGAGGAAGGCCTATATCAATTCGAAGCCATTCAAAATTATTTCATCTTCTATAGACCAGCGTTTCTCTACCATTAAAAATGCGGGAGCTCTTCTGGTAAAAGAGCCCATTTTCGTCTAATGTTTTCTTTTGCCCCGAAAATTTTTGCATTCTTGTCCAAATTATTTGTATTTGTGTGAACATGCATGGTTATCATCGCCTAGTATTTGTGAGACAATGTTGTAGAGCATTTTCATGATCTACTTCTGATTGGAAATTTAATAAACGGTAACTTCTTAAAAATTTATATTTTTCAGGAGCAGCCACGGAACACCCGGGAAGAGCATCCCGCGGCACGAAGGTTGATCACCTTTGATGTGGAATATCCTGCTTTTAAATTGAATACTGCCTGCGGAAATCAGACACCCTTCGGAGGAATAAAAGCAAGCTCGCTTACCTTTCAGCAGAACAGTATCGGTCTTGGGCAGCACTGGCTTCGGCATATCTGCAAGTAAGAATAAAAGAGGCGAGGGGTATTCAAAACCGGTCACGGAACAACAAGCGTGACATGGGCAATATCGTCACCGGGAGCAAGCGGGAAATGAAAAGGGATCCCGAAGTTGCGTGTGCGTCCAATCTCGGACGAATTCTCATGCGTTTTATTCGAGTGCATGTAGCAGGCGAGTCTACCTATTTTCCCCTTTTCTCTCTATGCTGAAGACACGGAACTTACTCCGCGTGCAAATGGACCCCGGACGTCGCGCCGGTTTTAGAACATTGCCCGAGGATCGGGCGATGAGATCATCCGCCCAACCCCGTGTTTACTACGAAGGATCCCTCGCAAATACCCGTCGACTTGCTACAACCATCATCTCTACATGGCAGCGCTTCGGGAAACAAGCATTCAGAAAGGTACCCATCAACAGTTCGAACATTGCGGTGTTCGCTTGAATTACACCGCAATATGTCCGACCCCGATAAGGTACTGAATTTATCGCCTTGTTCCCCGGCGCGTATGGAGTAAATGGCATCACCAGCAAGGTTTCATTCGGGAATTCCTTTGCACTCGTTCTATTTGTGAAATTGCGAATATTTTCTGAGCTCTGCATCTGCACGAACGATCACCATCCGTCATTTCAGCCTCGCTTCCACTTCATTGTAGAATATACGGTGTTATTTTTCTCTTGAACATTCCACCGAATTTGTTTGTGTTGTTGGAAGCATGCAATGTGAGCTTATCCGCAGGAAAGTTTGTTTCGTACAGTAATCAGGCTGGAAGATTCGTACATTTTTGTAAAAGGAGAACAGCAAAAGTTTGAGTTTCCTCAGAATTCGACCGATATTGGACATTCATCTAAAAATGAGAAAAAAGTTCGTGAAAAAACAAGCGAACAGAACAATGTGGCATACATAATCTGCCGAAATATTTCGTCTGCCTCCATCAAGATTAGGGCGCCGAAAGTTCGGATGAATATTGAGATTTCACAAAAGGTCCACTCATGAAACTCGTTCGAGTTCATCGATACTTCTCGGTTGAAATACGGAAATGCTGGCAATAACATCAGCTAAAATACTATAGCATGAATCAATACCATGACCGAACCGAACCCACGCTGATGGGTAAATTGGACTTATTATTCATCCTTCCGAGGTTAACTTTTATATTGAAAAGTTATGTCCTGGAATACATCTATCTAACATTCTAACCCGTTTAAAATTCAGAAAGCAAGTTACCGTTTTTTAGAAAGTACAGGAATTTACCTACTGTAACAGTAAAATGACTTCAACAACGCTGACATAATTATATTAAGGTTTAGCTTGAGCTGATGTTATCCAAAACCAATCATTTCATCTTGTTTTTGTGGGAAGATTTAGTGGTTAAGTGAGAACTGGCCCTCGAAAATTTTTTATTCTTCAGTATATTCGAATGTATACTGTACTATGATTCGGACGGACATCCATGAACCTTTACAGTCTGAAAAAATGTTGAAAAATTTCTAAAAAAAAATAAAAAAGAACGAATGAGCTTCAACGCCTGCGTCATTGCATGGTTCCGACCATCGAAAAAAAAATGCTGCGGATTCCTGATGAAGTAATTCAAACTGAAACAAGTGCGAAGAAGGATCGAATTTAATCCACATTTTTTTCAGAATCATCCACGAATTTTTCGAAATTCAAATATTTACTTTAGCTTTCAACGAGTGTCTTCAACGCCTTCCATGGGTGATGTCCCGCCACAAAGACTTTTAACTGTAAAATTCCTCATACTATTCGATTCACGCCGAAGTACAGGAAAATCTCAAATTCGAATTACGATGAAAGCTTCAATGTAATCCTTTTTCCTCCGGCAGAAAAGTTCAGAGTTTTAGCTGTTGACTGAGTTGCAAACGATGTTGATGCGGTTGGAAAGTGTGAAGAATAACTGGATTTCATTTCTCGTTTCCATCAGCCTTGAAGTCGGAGGCGTACCCGGGCCTGGCATCTTGACGCCTGCTGAAGCAGCCAGTTGTGCTCAATCGATTTGATTTTCACCTCAACATTCGAGGCGCACGATCGTCGGAATCGAATCTCCAATGCGACAATCAAAAAGATAAATAAAACTAGAGCGGAAAAGCGGCGCAAACATTCCCCCTGGATTTCGCCAGCCCGACGCCGCGCCAGCTGGGAAGTAACGTGCGAGAATGCGGAAGGAAGGACGAAAAAAAAATTCAACCTGCTTGCGGAGCATGAAATTGCTTCATTTGCATCCCCTGGCTGGCATCCGCGCTTCTCGCAATGCTCTCCATTCGACCGCAACGAAAAAGGCACGACGTGCCTCCCTAGAAATCTCGGGTAATCCGAGTGAAAAACTGGCCGAGATCGCAAGAGCATTTCATGTTCCGGAAGCGCGGCCCGGAAGAAACTCCGGCGTGCAGGAATGCTCCCGGGCCCGCATATTGGATCTCGGGACGACGAGGACGCAACCGATTGCCTGAAATGAAATCTCATTGTAATCGAATCTCCTCGTTCCGCGGATCGCAACTGGAGGATAATGGAGGAACGCGCCTCCAGGTGAAATACATCGTGTCTTTCAGCCGGAAAGAAATATCGTCTCCCACGGTGCGAAATAATTCAGGAGGAAAGACTCTCGGATCCATTCCCGCTCGCCGCCATCGCGATGAAAAACGACGGGAAACGCTCTGTGCTACGTCGCTCATTAACAATCCCACCCGATTTTCGAGCGGATCCACGCGAATCGAAAACGCACAACGGTTGGAAAATGAACCGGTTCACTCTTCTGCGATGAATCTTCCCATGTATAATGCATGTCAGCCCCGGCTCTGATAAGCTTATAATACAAGACTGGTTCTCCAGAAAAGGCAGAGGCGAGCTTAAGGTGTCGTCGCGAGCACGGAGCAAAAGTAGAAATGGATGGATGTGCCTCATGCTCCATGGGCTATGACACGAGTGCCAGCCACAAAGAAAAAACCCCGTGATACACGGAAGCCCTGCCAGAGTTCCGCTTATAGGTGGCTGAAGAAGTTTCTTTTTCGCATCGCGCAAAAAAATCTCTCGGCACTACTACGACGTTTCATCGAGTTCAATTATGTCGGCACGAAACGAAGCCGCTTTTTGATGGCAAATAGCCCATATTTCACGTCAATCTCCGGGAATCATTATTTTTTCTTGTTCCCTGATGAACTGTATCCAGTATTAGGATCACGACATGCATACTATTCAGAGATCAAAACGCGTCGTGCAGCAAAAAAAAAGACTCGGAATTAATGCCAGAGTTGTCCTTCCCGTGCGATCATGTTGTCATCTTGCAGAATTTCGGGGGATGCAACGTTACAGTAGAAAAAAAAAATAAGGTTACACCTTGTTTCTATTCTAGAAATTCCAATTAAATTCACAGGCAGGGAGAAGGATAATTTGTTTCGCAGAAAGAATTTTTCCGATAGTCTTTTTCTCTTTTCTCAGTTTTCACAAACATCCAAGTACATTATGCAGTACAGGTTAGTATAACCACAGCAGTAAGGAAGGATAATCAATTTTCTCAACTCATTGATTCCTACACTTTTCAATGTTAATGTTGCTGTTGCTCCGAGAAAATTATACTTCGCGTGAAATTCAGGCGATCAAGACGCTTCTTATGCGTCAGAATGACCATTTTTGTGCGATTACCATATTACGCTGAAAAAGTACTCGTTTCAAATTGCAGCCTGCAGCACAAATGGGAAACCTTTTGCAGAGAGGGCTTTGAGAGAACATGAAACCAAATCATTTAGAAGTACAAACCTGCTTAAAGTTTAAGACTTGAAAAAAGGAACAACTAAAACGATCTGCAGAAGGAAACAGCACCAGTTGAGTAATTCTAATTTATTACATACTGTGTTATGAGCATGAGGTGAGTCCGGTTGTTTTTGAAGACATCATATAATTCCGGGTATAGGTAGCGAACATACGAATGTTGTGCTGCTTTACTTGGATGCGAAGGAACCACGTTTCTGAACCCACAGTTTGGAAAATGATGGCGGCTCACATAATCACGTATGCACTCGTCGGCGTAACTTCTCATTGAACTAGACTGATATAATTTGGTATAGTCGACTGTTGAGATATAAATTCTAAATGCTCTTTAAATATGATACGATATCATACGAAAATACTCTGTTCATTTTTGGATTTTACAATAGTATATTTCGGATATGAGTACGTTCCTCATTTTCCAACAGTATCTCAATATACAGTACAGTTTTTCCCAGGAGTTTATATTGAAAAAAAAAACCGTTTCTTCGGCTTCGAGCACGAATGAAGTGCGGTTCACCATACAAATGTTTTTGACTGGTTGTGACAAGATTTGCAGGAGGAGCCCGAGTTGTTGCCCGTGGTACTAGCAGGAAGAAGCCGGGTTTCATCCGAGTTTATTTGGTTACAGATGTAGGTAGGTCACTTGACTTCGAAACGACACTCACCGTATAGCTGAACGGAGCCGATGATTTCACCCAGGCTGCTTCGTGCGTGACACTGGTAGATTCGGTAATCTTCCTGGGCAATGTGCATGATTTTCAGCCTCGTCAGCGTCTGGTAGCCATCCACAGTATCAGAGTCCCTTCCAACTCTGTACTTATCTCCTGGAAAATATGCCATCAAGCAAAATATATCACCGTCATTGTTCTAATCACCCCAATGATGCGCACGCGAAGCTCATCTTTCGTCTCTGCCATCTCCTCTATGTACAGCACGGGCCGCGGGCTGTACTTGCAGATGACGTTGGTTTTCAAAATTCAGGAACTTGAAACTTGCAACCGCAGATACGAATTTTTAATCATCATAATTTTCTCGGTCATCAGGGAAGTTACAAGACCAAGGTATGTGATGGTTTGCATTTTTCACATCTCCATATATGGTTCTCTTTTTTTCAGGGAGAATATTCATTTAAAAGTAACAACAAAGAGCGTCGTTAGTGAGGGCTTCCAGTCTCGAGGAAACTGTTCCAGAACATGCACGGCCATTGTCTTCTTGAAGTTCTAAGATCATGAACTTGCTTTTTTTGTATCTAGGAAAACATATTCTGCGGATTCACTAAAAGGCTTCTTCCATTATACGCTGAAATGCGTCCGCGTTACAAATTCAATCATACACTCGCTGGCTTCGATCGTATCCAGGAAAGTTTGTTAATTCATTCCTAATGAAATTTTTGGAAAACTCAAGCCAAGAGAAATGGAGATCTCTCTTTTTTGATCACGCATTTCAAATAGCTCACATACTCGTATATATTATATAAACGCAAACATAGTGTACGTACGAATAAGTTATTAAAACTAATGTGCCTTTGTTTTATAAGTTCGCACTTCTCAGAATATTGAAATTTGCTTAAGATTTTTGAGCTACGTCAGGATTTCTTTCAAAATAAAATTTTTATTGCTAGGAGGAATATTTTCTTTCGGCAAGATAGTATTGGATACTATCCAATATAGACTACCGTAAAATACAACTGAAAGTCAATTGTATTGCACGCAAGTATTTATCTTTCGTAGTTTTCTTAATCATCAGTGTTCTATGAACAGTCCAGAATGTTATAGACCACCATGTATTTTGTGATTATCAACGGAATACAGCGCACTCTGACCTGCCGCACAAACTTCGCAAAATAGAGAAACTTTTGCTATAAAACTCGGTGTGGGAGATTTTTGATTAGATAAATGTGTTAAAATATGTATATGAGTCTGAATATAAGTGTTTCTACAGAAGTCGAGTCAATTTGATGATGAGGAATTAAATAAGTATAAACAGCAATTGGCCGGTGCGCGACCGGCCGAAAAGATAAGCGCTAGCTTTGTTTTTTCACACAAGATTCCTTTCGGAAGATTTGTACAAAACACTTTTCACAAGAATCTTCAGTTTCACGATAAAAAATGGTTCGATAGTACACACGTCGCGTTCAGTCAAAGTTCGGTGCGCTAGTGTCGAGTCTTGCCCAACTTTTCTCCTTATATACCTCATTTTCTCTTTAGAGAGCCGTGTATCGCGTATATACGCAGTTCCGGCGGAAGGCAGCTGCAAACGGTCATATATTCTATTCTGGATACGAAATTCGTGCGTAACGAATTTCTTCCTTTAGAATTCGAATTCGTGGGAGTCTTTGGGATTTCAACCGGCCGAAAAGATAAGCGCTAGCTTTGTTCTTTCACACAAGATTCCTTTCGGAAGATTTTTACAAACACTTTTCACAAGAATCTTCCGTTTCACGATAAAAAATGATTCGATAATACACACGTTGCGTTCAGTCAAAGTTCGGCGCGCTAGTGTCGAGTCTTGCCCAACTTTCCTCCTTATATACTTTGTTTTCTCTTTAGAGAGCCGTATATTGCATATATACGCAGTTCCGGCGGAAGGCAGCTGCAAAAGGTCATATATTCTATTCTGGATACGAAATTTGTGCGTAACAAATTTCTTCCTTTAGAATTTGGATTCGTGGGAGTCTTTAGGATTTTCAGTTGGCTTCGAGAGCCTTGTAGAGTTTTTAGTGTTTTGTTGACAGCGAAATCGGAGCAGGGGCGGAAATCTGTGCCATATGTTGGCCGTAAAAGGTTTCCGAACTCCTTGCCCGGCTGGCGGGCTATTTGTCTTTCTCGATATGGGGTGTCGTTTTACTGGTCTTCGCTTTAATGGTTTTGGGGCTATCTCTTTGAGGGTTTTATTGCCGCCTCTTGTTTCGGAGCAGGGGCGGAAATCTGTGCCATATGTTGGCCGTAAAAGGTTCCGAACTCCTTGCCCGGCTGGCGGGCTATTTGTCTTTCTCAATATGGGGTGTCGTTTTACTGGTCTTCGCTTTAATGGTTCTGGGGCTATCTCTTTGAGGGTTTATTGCCGCCTCTTGTATTTTTGCGCGCCAATTCGTGTTGGCGCGAATTACTCAGATTTCCGTGTCACTTCGCGCAGGGGGTATTTTTCGCGGAAAATCCCCACATAAGACAAGGTGAAATTAATGAGTTCCTTTTTAGCTGGAGTAAGTTTCAGACGCCTCTGACAGAAACCAGAAGCTGAAACCCGATCAAACGTGGGCGATGTTGTTCTCCAATTGAGAAAAAGATTTGGAATCCCTCAGCAAACACTTATTCAGGAATTTTAAAACCATATTTTTCTAACCTCTTCAATATACAGTATTGCAAGAATTTAGTTTACATACAGTGGTGGTTACAGAAATGAATAACGTGTATGATACATTGCAAGGTCATGAGCTGATCTTGACCCATTGCATGCATATTGACTGATAATTTTTACAGAGCTTTATTATTTGCTTAACTTGTTTTCTTGTTTATGCTGATATAAATAAATTTACATTGATTTTTGACTGGGGAAAGGAGAGATTATTATCTTAAACAGTGCAAGTTGTAGAATATGACATTTTTTTCAATGCTTTGATTTTAGTTCACTGTATATGTGTGAGAATTATGTAATCCTGAAATCTTGATTTTATTGTATTCTGGTCTTGAGCTTTTTCTTGTGTTTGTCATTTTTAAAAAATAATTTTTTGGATACCATCAGTTGTAAAAGAATATCAGAACAATGCCAACTCAAGTTTGTGGGCTTCAGAATTCCTAAATATCTTTAAATAGAAGATGTGAGTCAGCCAGCATAATATTCACTGGTTACTTGGTGGCGTTTGTACAGGTATTACCTTGCAATTTAAACTTACACAATTCAACCATCTGGCAATTTGATGGTCAAATTTTCAGGAAGGTTGACTTGCAATTTGACAACCCTTGCCCCACAATTTAACCTGCTTTGGCCACTTTTTTGTGTTTTTGTACTATTTTTGAGTTTCACAAAGTGTCTTGCAATTTGACCCTAGTTTGGCAACAGATGAGGGGTTGAATTGGGAGGTACCACCTGTATCTGAATTTTTGTTGGAAAATGAAATCAGGAATCTAACAAAAAACTGGTACCTTTACAATGATTTTTTCTCATTTTACTGAGGAAATAATAATGGGGTTAGGTCTTGCAGGAAAACATTTTCCAAGGAAAAAAAATCTTTAGTTTTTTTTAGCAAATTAGGGCTGCATATATATCAAAATACAATACATTGCTGGTTTTTGTATAAACCTGGCTGTTCTTCAAAACTGATCATCATAATGTTGTTGACCATTTTGGATGATATTCTACCCAGATATTGTTCTTCCAGTCATCCAAGGTAACAGAATGCACTGATCCATTTCTTGATGCCAGCAGCTTTAGGAAAATATTATACCCGACTTACGTTGCACCCGGTGTCGTCCTGTATTTCCCGGGAAAAAGACTAAAAGGATCCTGGTACACACCAAACATTTACTCCTTGTCTCCTGCATAATGTGTGATAAGCCACGCGCCGTCTGTTGTCCTGAAACGAGGAGTCTCAGCAGAATCCAAAACAGTACTTATTTCGGAGTACAATAAAACAAAGCAATGCATATTTTATATAGAGGTGATGCATTTGTTTTCGTTATTATACAGGAAGCCGGAATTGGAGCAATGATCTCTTATACAGTACTCGTGAAGGGCCGAGTCCAAACCCGACGCAGGCACGGATTTGTAGAACATAACACCGATCAAAGGGAGAACATAAATTTTATTCTGAGTGGAATGATGATACAATTGTATAATTTCGTTTGCATATAAATCATCTGCTGAGAGCTTCTAAAAAAATTGAATTCACACCGTTCCTCCGAGAATTTTTCTCCCTAGGGTAGAAAAAGTTTTAAAATTGTAGTGAAATATGCGTTCCCTGAGTCAAGCAGGAAAATTTCAAAATGTTTTCTCAGTGAAGAGATTTTTTTGTTGCTGAAATATTCAGCAGTATAGGTCACATTTTTTTCTGCATTCTGAACGAAAATGACGGGTTTAACATTGTTGACATCCTGCAAAAAAATCATAATATACCAAGCATTTTTGGACATCTTTGGCTGAATCCAAATGTGAGCATATAAGGGGAAAACGCCTTGAAATAAATAAAGGCATTTAATCCTGACAAATGATGAGCAAAAATGATTGTCACCTGATGAATATACCTGCTTCAGATAGAAGATTATATACTGGTGAAGCTTGAATATGCAACCTATTTCAAACATGGATTAACAACATTTCAAAATCTTTTTAAGCTTTTGTCATTTTTAAAACAACCATTATCATGATTAACCCTTGGATGGCAGAGGGTTCTTTCCCATCGCTGGCCAAAATCAGATTATTTTTGTGTGCTGGGGTGTTTTAAGTTTTCTGAAGGTCAGAAAAGACCTTCCAGATGGGCTGAGGCAAAGTTGGGATTAATCCGCGAAAAGCCCATTGCTTAGTGTAGCATTTCTTCCATTTTCCCACAAAATTTTTCTGTGCAAAAAGAAAAAAACATCAGATTTTTCCCCAACTTTGACCTCAAATCCCTGTTGTCCTTTTTTTATTTTCTGCCCAGAGGTGCAACAAAATTTTGTGAAAATAGTCCGACTTTGCCGCCCAAGGGTTGAAAAAGCCACATTGAAAAAATAAAAAACCAAGATTTTCATTGAGAGAAACATAAACTCAAGTCCCCTTTCCTTAGACATCAATTCAGGTGGTACCTTGCAAATTTCACCTCCTGCAATTTGACCTTCACACAATTTGATGGTCAACTTTGCTGG